GCCAAAAACATAATATTCCTTATCCTATTTATCTGTTCCTCAGTTGGTTAACATTTGGGTTGTATGAACAAGGCTGCTTTTAACATTGTGAACAAGTTTTTGTGTGGAAATATGTTTTCATTTCTCTTGGTATATACCAAGGAATTGAATTGCTAGATATATGGTAATTAATTATATGTTTAACTCTTTGAAGAACTGCTACACATTTCCCAAAGCAGTAGCACCATTTTACAATCCCACCAGTAGTAATCGAGAGCTTCAATTTCTCCACATCCTCATCAACACTTGTTTTTATCTTTTTGACTATAGCCTTCCTAGTGAGTATGAAGTAACATCTCATGGTTTTGATTTGCATTTCCTTGGTGGTTAATGATGTGGAGCATATATATATATATTTTTTACATTCACTTTATTTATTTATGGAGCATTTTTTCATATACTTATTAGCAGTTTATATATGTTCTCTGAAGAAATATCTATTAAGATATTTTGCCTGTTTTAAAATTGTGTTATTTGTCTTTTTATTTTTGAGTTGTAAAATTTCTTTATATTCTGGATGCAAGTCCCTTATCAGATACATGATTTGCAAATATTTTCTCCCATACTTTGGGTTGTCATTTCACATTCTTGATGGTGTCCTTTGCAGCATGAAAACTTTTAGTTTTGATAAATTTCAATTTATCTATTTTTCTTTTGTTACTTGTGCTTTTAATGTCTAATAAACCACTGCCTCATCTAAGTCCTTGAAAACTTAAACCTATATTTCCCTCTAAGAGTTTTATAGTTTTTTATTTAGGTCTTTGATCCATTTGGAGTTAATTTTTGTATGTAGTATGAGGTAAGAGTCCAACTTCATTCTTTTGCATGTAGATGTCCAGTTCACCTAGCATCATTTGTTGAAAAGACTATATCTGCATTGAGTTAACTTTATTGAAAATCAAATGATGATAAAAGTGAAGGTTAATTTCTGGACTCTAAATTCTATTTCATTGGCCTATATATCTATCCTCATGTCAATACCACACTGTCTTGATTATTGTAGCTTTGTAGCAGGTTTTGAAATCTAAAAGTGTGAGTCCTCTAATTTTGATCTTCTTTTTCAATATTGTTTTGGTTATTTGGAGTCCTTTGAACTTTTACATGAATTTTAGGATCAGTTTGTTAATTTCTGCAAAGACGGCAACTGGATCTTAGATGGAGATTGCATTGAATCTGGGGAATATTGCCATCTTAACAGTATTGTAATCTATGAACTTGGATGTCTTTCCATTTATTTGTTTTAATTTCTTTCAGCAATGTTTTGTAGTTTTCATAGTATATGTTTTATACTTAACTTTGCTACATTTATTTCTAATTATTTTATTCTTTTTGCTGCTATTGCAAATGGAGTTTTTTTCTTAATTTTATTTTTGGATTTTTCATTGCAAGTGTATGGAAATGCAATTGATTCCTGTATCCTGCAAACTATGGAACTCATTTAGTAGTTCTAATAGTTTTTTTAATGGATTCCTAAGGCTTTTCTATATACAAGATCAGGTCATCCGTAAATAATGATAACTACTTTTCCCAATCTAATCACTTTGTATTTTTTTTTCTTGTTTTAATTACCTTGGTCAGAACCTCTAGCACAATGTTGAATAGACATGGCCTGAGCAAACATCCTCATCTTCTTTCTGACCTTAGAGGGAAACCATTCAGTTTTTCAACATTAAGTATGATGTTAGCTGTGGATTTTTCATAGATGCCTTTTATCAGGTTGCTGAAGTTTTCTTCTATTCCTAGTTTGTTGTTTTGATCATAAAGAGGTGTTGAATTCTGTCAAATGCTTTTTCTGTTTCCACTGAGATGATCATGTGGTTTTTGTCCTTTATTCTATTGATAGTGTGTTAATTACATTAATTGATTTTTTTTTTTTTTTTTAAATCTCAACCTTGTACTCCTGGAATATATCCCACATGTTGCTGAATTCATTAACTAGGAATATTTGAGGATTTGGGAGTTCTATATTCATAAGAGATTTTAGCCTGTGGCTTCCTTTTCTTGTGGCATCTTTGTCTGAATTTGATAGTAGGGTAATATTGGCCTCATAGAATTAGTTGGGAAGTATTCCTTTCTCTTCTATTTTTTGGAAGAGTTTGAGAAGCACTGCTGCTTATTACTTTTTAAATGTTTGGTAGAATTCACTAGGAGACCCGTCTGGCCCAAGCTTTTCTATGCGAGTAGTTTTTTTTTTATTGCTAATTCAATCTTTTTACTTGTTATAGGTCTATTCAGATTGTCTGTTTCTTCTCGATTCAGTTTTGGTAGTTTGTGTCTTTCTAATTTTCCCATTTCATCTAAGTTATCTGATTTGTTAGCATATAGGTGTTCATTGTATTCCTTTACAATCCTTTTTATTTCCGTGAGGTTGGCGATGCCTACTCTTTCATTTCCTATTGTACTAACTTGAGTCGTTTTTTTCTTGGTCAGTCTAGCTAAAGTTTGGTCACTTTTATTGATCTTTTAAAAATCAACTTTTAGTTTTATTGATTTTCTCCATTGCTTTTCTATCCTCTATTTTAGTTAATTTCTGTTCTAATCTATATTATTTCCTTCCGTCTATTCGTTTTGGGTTTAGTTTGCTTTTCTTTTTTTAGTTTCTTAAGGTGGAAGGTTACGTTATTGATTTCAGGTCTTTTTCTTTTTTAATATTAAATATTTAATATTTAATCATTTTACAGGTAAAATTTTCCTTTGAGTACTGATTTAGCTGCATCCTTTAAGTTTTAATATGTTGTGTCATAGTTTTCATTCATCTCAAAGTATTTTATAATTTTCTTGTGATTTTCTTCTTTGACCCACTGGTTACTTGAGAGTATATTGTTTAATTTCCACATATTTGTGAATTCCCTAAATTGCTTTATGTTACTGATATCTAATATCATTCCATTGTGGTCAGTTTTAAATTCTGACTACAGATTTAAATTATTTGTATAATTTAAATTCTAAGTTCCTTGAACATCTTTATAAGGAGTACTTTAAACTATTTTTCTATGAAATCCAACATCTATGCCCTCTCATACGCATTTTCTGTTGCCTGCTTTTTTCCTATGTAAGGCTCCCGCTTAACTGTTTCTTTGCATATTTCATACCTCATAATTTTTTTGTTGAAAACTGAATAATATATTAGGGTAATATATTGTTGCAGCTCCAGATACTGATACCTGTCCTCCACCACAAGACTTGTTTTTGTTTGCTTGTTTATTTCTTTAGTGACTTGGACTATTTTAGTGAAGCCCATTTCCCCTGCAATATAAAGCCTCTCATGTTACTCCCCTGAGGGCACAATCTTTGGCTCTGCAGGGCTCTCTTTGATTCTCTGATCTGTTAAGCTCTTTACCTTTACTGGTATCACCTGTTAAGCTCCATTAATTGTTGGCTGATTGATTACTCTATAGTTTTTGACATATGAGGCATAAGTTGCTTGATAATCTGATCCAATTAAATTTGGGTTCCTTTACAAGGCTTGTTTTTTATAAAAATATTTTAGGTTTGTTCTGACCTCAGGAGAGCTCTTAATTGCTGTGTCTTTCCTTGTTTCTCTCTGTTAAATTGGTTGGCCTCTGGTTTAGCTTGTGCTTTAATGGAGCTACCAGCCTTTTCTGAACTGTTTACCACCAAAATCTCCATTTTCTTTTTTTGAGGGTGCCCTTAGGCTTCAACTTTCCTATACTGTTTCATATAAAGTCAGTTGCTTTGGAGGGAGCGTAAGAGCTCTCTGTTCTTATGGATTGCTTCTTCCCCTGGGCAAAATCACGTAAGCCCCTGCTCTGGAGCTGGTGTCAGGGACAGTGACCCACTTCTCTGAGTGACACTCCTGTTTTATAATCTGGGAACTGGGCAGGGGTGATAGCCTCTGGCCCTCTCAGTTTGCATCTCTGTTGTAAAACCTCTACCCTATTACTGATCTGGGGTTAGAGCCATTAGGGTCCTGATATTCCTGTCTTGCTGCATCTGAGGTACAGCCTCTGTGCTGAGTGGGGCTGGATGGAGGACGCAAGTCCTCAAGCTCTTGACCACATTCACCAGGAATTAGTCTGCAACTTAGAGCTGGGAAAGGTGAGAAATATTGGTAGCCTGCTCCTCCTGGTGAAGTACCATATCCCTTGACTGGATGCAGAAGGAATGGAAAACCCGCCCCCCCCCCGCTTTTTTTTTTACCACATTCTCCTGGAGCATCTGTCTAATTTAGATATGGGGTGGGGTTAGAGGCATAGAGGAAGGGAGCAGGTCATGGCCCAAGTGCCACAAACTTTTGCTGTTCAAGATTTAGTAACAGATATTTCTTAATTTGTTCTATATCCTTAGGAAAAATTCCAGAGATTTAAAATATTTATGTTTTTAAAGATTTTCATCATTTATGGAATTCCACTAGGAGGAGTGGGTCTGCAGAGCTCCTCATGCTGCCATTCCAGAAATGGGATCTCTCTTTTAGTTTTAATAATTACTTTAGAAATTACAATGGCGCATACTTAATTTATCAAAGGCTAACATTAATTGACGTCTTTACTCTTTCTGAATAACGTAAAGATCTTATAACTGTTTGCAGTTTTTATTGTATACACATACATGTACACAAGGAACATATATATTAAACATATATGTATATTTATCAAATATGTATAGATATATACATACTATATTTACATAAAGCAAGAATGTGAAATAGAAGTCATCTGGTTACTTACAGTTAAGCTGCCTGAGTTCAGTTCTTGTTTTTACTACTTACCAGCTGGTCAACCTAACAAGTCCTCTAACTGCCTCAAATCTAAGTTTCTTGAGCCCCAGAGGTAAGATCCTAATACTAATTTGTGATGATTAAGTGAGTTAACATATGTAAAGTGCCATATATATAATATATGCATAGTATCTGACACACAATGAGTGCTTAATGAAAGTCAGCTCTAATAACTAAAGGTAATTACTGATGGTAGTTACACTTATCCTCTCTGCCCTGGCAGTTCCTCTGTGACGAAGGTGCTGGTATTTCCGGGGACTACATCGATCGTGTGGATGAGCCCTTGTCCTGCTCCTATGTACTGACCATTCGGACTCCGCGGCTCTGCCCCCACCCTCTCCTCCGGCCTGCACCCAGTGCTGCTCCCCAGGCCATTCTCTGTCACCCCACCCTGCAGCTGGAAGAGTACATGGCTTACATCCAGAGGCAAGCTGGTGAGTAATTAAAAGATCAAGGAGAAGAAGGGGAGACATGGGGAGGGACAAGCAGAAGATAAAATACTGAAGAGCCCAAAGGAATGTGTCCTTGTTCTGTCTGCATGCTGTTTTTCAGTAGACTCAAAGCAGTATGGAGATAAAATCATAGAGGAACTACAAGACCTAGACCCTCAAATGTGGAGCAAGACCAAGCCTGACGTACCCACAAAGAGAGCAGGTAGGGCCTTGCCGCACCTCTTCTGTGAAACTTGTTTCCATTTCTTCCCTTTCCCAATCTTAGTGTCCTGAACTAACTGTTGGGATGGGGTGAAAAAGTACTAAGGGGTGTACCCACCTCAATAATAGAGGAGGGGAATGTCCCCATTGTATTTGCTTCCTTCCATTTTCCCCTCCTTTCAGATTCCTCCCTGTCCTCTATATCTCAGGTGCAATCCCAACCAAGGATGACAATAAGGAATCAGATTTCTGGAAGATGATTCATGAGCCAGAGGACCGGGCCCCAGGAGGGGAGGGGGTACAGGTTGAGGTGAGAGCCAGCTTCTTCGCCATTTCTCTGATGAGGCTGAACCTGGGCTGTGGAGTGGAGGGACCCCTGAGGTCATTCATTATGAGATGGCCTATATTTATCTAGGAATGCAAGGATCTACCCAGAACCATTGCCTTAAGAGTATGGTAGGCATAAACAAGCTTGCATTCTTGACTCTGCCCTCTTCCCTTTATTAGGAGCAGGAACCAGATATTGAGCCAGCAGATCCAGCTTCAGGTTCTCCTGGTGGTAGGTGAACCCTTCAGGTCTCTTTTGCTGCTGGGATGTACTTTTGGGTTGGCAGGGGTGGGGGTAGAACTAAACACTGAGAGGGAGGTTGGACAGCCAAATCAGTAGTAGCAAATTCACTTTTACAGGCGTTAGTACCCTTTGTAGACAATAATTCTCTTCTAGGGAGATAGCAGACACATTGGTTCCACTACTTGCTGACTTTGTAATCTTGGACGATTTCACTTAACCTCCATTTCCTCACCTATAGCATGTGGTTAATCACCCCTACCTTTGAAGGTTATTGTGAGATTAAATGAGAATGAATTTTTAGTTCACAGTGGAATGTCTGAAACTGAGTCAACAAAAAATGTTTATATTTGTGGAATGAGGAGAACAGGATTCAGGGAAGAGGAACCCTTGTCCCGAGAATCTTTTCTGGAGTCCTAAAAACTGGAGTGATTGCCAGAGGAGCCTCAGCAGTGCATGAAAGAGCAGGGGACTTAGCAGTTTGTTAGCATCCTTCTCTCTCCTGTGAGTCCACTTCAGGCCAGTGCTCTCTGGAGGGGTATGTTTGTCCCTATCTCTCTGACCAGACAGGTAGCTCCTGAGATAGGGACCATGTCCTCCCTTGGTCTCCTCAACTCCTCTCCTTAGGAAGTCAAAATAGAATTTAGGACACAATAGATCCATTCCTATTCTTTCATCTCAGATTTTCAGAACAATGTCCAGGTCAAAGTCATTCGGAGTCCTGCAGACTTGATTCGATTGATTGAGGAGCTGAAAGGTGGAACACAAAAGGTACGGGCCTTGCTCAAGGGAGGGGTGGAATCTGCCTCCCTCTTGGGAACATCTGAAGAACCACCCCAGACCTGCGCTGGGCCCCATAATACCGACTCCCTGCCTTTACTCTTCTTTAGTCCCCTGCTGCCACCCCCAGCCACTGTATGTCTCTCGCCCCCCACCATGTGTCTTTACTGAAACTCCAACCGTCTCCTTCTTTCTCCCAATCCCTGTCCACCCAGGGGAAGCCAAATGCAGGCCAGGAACAACCTACGGACAATGCTGCAGAAGTCCCTCACAGGGAAGCAGAAGTGAAGGAAAAGGGTGACACAGAACATCAGAATGAGGTGGAAGAAGAGGAGGACGATGAGGATGAAGACGAAGATGAGGATGAACGTCAGTTACTGGGAGAATTTGAGAAGGAATTGGAAGGGATGCTGCTCCCATCAGACCGAGAGCGGCTCCGTTCAGAGGTGAAGGCTGGCATGGAGCGGGAGCTGGAGAACATCATCCAGGAGGTGAGTGTGGCTCTTCCTCCTGTTGCTTCCACCCCTGTCTGCTCCTGACCTGTGGGCAGGTCAGGCCAAGGGACTGAAAGAACAAAGGGCAGCACCTAGTGCAGCATGGGGCCTGGGACAGGGCCCTCTGAGTTGTTCGTTTAATTAAAATGGGGGGACAGAGAGAGGTATGAGACTTCTACATGACTCTTCTGTAGAGTCTGGACCCCTGGCCTTCACTGTTCAGCCCCTTGACTCTCCACTCCCCTCTTGGGCATTCCAGACTGAGAAGGAGCTGGACCCAGATGGGCTGAAGAAGGAGTCGGAGCGTGATCGTGCTATGCTGGCTCTGACATCCACTCTCAACAAACTCATCAAAAGGCTGGAGGAAAAGCAGAGTCCAGAGCTGGTGAAGAAACACAGGAGGAGGGTTGTCCCCAGAAAGCCTCCGCCTGCCCCCCGACCAGCAGGTGAGAGCTGTCAGCTTAGAAGCCAAGTCCCTTGTCTTCAGCCCTCAGCTGGTGTGTGCCAAAGGGCGTCATGTTCTTTCCATTCTGAGAGCACTCGTTCTCTTCCCTCGTTCGGGAACACTGTTCTCACTCTTGCCTTCTTCCCACTACCTCCATCCTTTTGCCTGCTTACCTCCCATTCACCCTTTGAGAAGTAGCTTCTAGAACATGTCTGACTGGCTACCATACACCCAGTGCTTAGCACTTTGCCCAGCACATAGTGGGTGATCAGTAGATATTAACTGAGTGACTGTGAGCCTGGGCGCTGAAGACTACACATCTGTGCGGGATGCAGCTTTTCAAAATTAGGACTTTGCACCAGGAGAGGCCCCAGTTGGAAGGCTGTCATCAGGAAGCCAGCTGCTCATAAGCCAATTGCCTGGACAGACTTGAAGTTATCCCTTCTTCTTGCACCCCTTTGTGTCCATACCATGGGGTCCTATGGGTGTGGAGATCAGACATTCCAAATGCAATATTCGAGCTTCAAACCTTCCATCTTTCTCTGTAAACGCTGATGTGTCTTTTGAGTACCAACATGGGGAATGCCAAACCACAGTTTTCCAACCCGTTTCTTAAAACTTCGTGGGCCCAAGTGGCCTGATTTTTGCTTCAGAAAACAGTTGTTTTCCTGTAGGTTTTAGGCAGAATTAATGGGTCCAGAGGGAAGAAAGGAGAATGCAGTTGGCGAGGGAGCTCTATAGGCTAGAATGGGGTGAGGGGGCCCTGACTCTACATGCTTGAGATGGAATAACTGCCAGAACCAACTGATGGTTTAGAGAGAGGTGACCACGACAGCCCCTAACCCTGGAGTCACTGCTCTGCTTTGTGTCTCCTTGTGTGTCTCCCCCTCTAAGAGGAGGATCCTGAGCACAGAGTCCGGGTCCGGGTCACCAAGCTCCATCACGGAGGCCCCAATCAGGATCTGACAGTCCTCGAGATGAAACGGGAAAACCCACAGCTGAAACAAATCGAGGGGCTGGTGAAAGAGCTGCTGGAGAGGGAGGGACTCACAGCCGAAGGTGGGCCCTGGAGGGTGGGGCCGGATTAAGAGCTATTGGAAGGGCTTGCTGCCTGAAGCGGAGGGGCTGGGTCAAGATGGACTGGAAACCTCTGCTGGGGACCTGGGGGGCAGAGGACCTGCAGTGAAGCCCCTCCCACTTCCTCTCTTCTCACTGCCTATCCCACTCCTTTCTAGGGAAAATTGAGATTAAAATTGTCCGACCAGGGGCTGAAGGGACTGAGGAGGACACACGTTGGCTGACTGATGAGGACACGAAAAACCTCAAGGAGATTTTCTTCAATATCTTGGTGAGAGGCATCCTACCCCCAAGTCCTGGACCTTCAGCCTGCCCCCTCCTCTAGTGCACTGTGGTGTTGAGAGCATGGTTTAGTCACACAGGTACATCCCAGCCTCACCACTTTCTGAGCTTCAGTTTTCTCACCTGTAAGAGAGGCTGATGATTCTGGCAGTTGGGTGTTCGGGCCCTCAGCAAGGGGCCTGTAAGAAGTGCGTGTGCCTCATCTCTGCCTTCCCCATGCTGCCAGTCCCTGGATCCTCCAGTGCCCAGTGCTTCCCTGGGCTCACCAGTCAGCAGCACTCCAACTCACCCCACACTCCCCACCACTAGGTGCAGGGAGCTGAAGAGGCGCAGAAGGAGCAGCAGCGGCAGAAAGATCTGGAGAGCAATTACCGCCGGGTGTGGGGCCCTCGAGGCGGGGAAGGCACTGGGGACCTGGATGAGTTTGACTTCTGAGATCACCACTACCATCAACTGAGTTCGCCAAGGAATCCAGAGTCTTCCTAGGCTTGCCCTGCTGCCTCCCTACCCATCTCCTACTCCCTGGGACCCTGAAGACAAAACAACAGAGTAGAGCTGAGCTGTGGACTTCTAGGGGCCCAGCTGGAGGTGTGGAGGGGCCATGGGGCGAGTGCTGCTGCTACTGCTGAGAGCTGCCCTGAAGACCACCCAGGCCTGTGAGTTTTGCTCTCCCAGGCTTCTTTCTCCCTATGTCCCTTTCTTGCCTCCCCAACTTTCCCTTTATGTTCCCCAACTAGTTTCCTTTCCCCTCCCTAACTAAAGAGTCAGTAAGACCTTTGGAGCGGAGTAGAGCAGGGGAAGCAAGAAACATGAGCTGTGCAGCAGCCCCTAAGAGGCAGGTCCCCGCTCCCGCCCCTGCCGCTGTTCAGAGTCACCTACCCCCTTCTCTTGCATTGGTTTGGGATTTCCTGCTTTTTCCCCTTTCCACACTGTTCCCTACAATCTGTGCTTCTGAGTTGAGGAACCGTCCTCTGTTGCCGAGGAAATGGGAGAAAGTTGCCCATCACCTCTGACACAATCCAGTGAAAGGGTGGGGTACAGACTCACCCACCATGTTCTTGAACAATCAGGTTTCTAAATAAAAAACTGGACCATTGCTCCATCAGTCTACTTTTTTCTTTTGTTGGGGGTGAGGGGTGGGTAGGTGGGGTGGAGAGTCAAGTGGGGAAGAAGCTTGGTGCTCTCTTCAGGGTAGAGCACACACTGTCTCATTACATTCTGTGCTCTGCTCCTCCCAGGTAGTGTCAGTGGGGGCTGAGGTTACAGTAAGAGATGGGTACAGATAAATGAATCCCACTGACCTTGCAAGGACTGAAATACTTGCATTCCTTTCATCCGTCATTTTCCTCATCTGTCCATTTCTGTTCTTTCTCTTCTCCCCCTTCATATCCTGAAGGCCAAAATGCACACCACAGTGTTACCCCACTACAGAGCTCCTCCTTCTGCTGAACTCTCCCTGCAGGGTGCTGCAGATCTCATTTGTCAGCCACACCCCATACCCACCTGGCCACACCACTCAATGACTCCCAGAAAAGACCTCTACCTTTGGCCATACCCAGAGAGAGGGCTGCTGCCCACACAGGCCAGCTTCCTAGTATGCCAAGGGTAGGTGGGCCTTGGTAGGTGTCTCCATCTCTCCTCATTGCCAGGTGCAGACATGGATTCCCCCAACCCCTCCTTTGTCCTCTTGTTCCCCATCTCTGAGTTGTACAGTCTTCTTGCTGAAGACTCTCCACTGACTCACAGGGTAAGAAAATGGCTAGAGGGCATGGAACTCCCAGCTCTCCAGAAGTAGAAAATGAGGGATTCAGTTTTTGAAGGAGGTTATATGAGACTGATCTTCTTCTTGCTGACTGTGTGCTTATTGCACACATTACGCTTAAACTGTTTTATTTAGACATGTAATGGGTAGGTATATAAAACCCTGCTTCTCCAGATCCATTTTTATATCTTGGGGGGAATGCTTTATCTGTGCAAGATCTGAGACACACCTTAAGAGCAACTGTAGTCAGAATGCTGAGTTCAAATCCTCACCCCTCCATTTACAATTAGTGTGGCCTTGAACAAGGTATTTAACTTTTCAAGTGCTGTTTCCTTATGAGTAAATTGTGGGTAATTTACCTCATGGGATGGTTATGAGGACTGAATGAGCAATAGCGTGTGTCATGCTTTTAGCCCAGTCCGTGGCCTACAGTAAGTGCAGAGTTCTGAAGAGACTGGATGGTACTTGGAGGCAAGACTCTTAGAAGGAATCCCAAAAGCTGATCAGAAGATACAATAGAATCTTTTAGAATGGGAGGGTGGGGAGAGGCTGGGGCAGGAGGGTTATCTTTAAATTGATGAGGATGGAGTCTTCATCAGAAAACAGAGTTCTGGATTTCACTAGATTTCATCATTTCGTACTTTCAGTAATAAATTCATTTTTTCCTTTCCTTTGGCTTTTGGTACGATTCCCATAGAGGAGGTTGGTCTGCCCCAGCTGTGCTAAGGCAAACCAAAGGAGGGGAGCAGGGTGTGTGGCTGATGGCAACCAGGTGTGGTGGGGAGAGCAGAGGGCAAATGGCGGCAGAAATCCAGGTGAGGACACCCAAAGCAGGCTGGGAAGGTGGTGGCATGGGTAGTAGCTCTCCTTTAGCCTCACAGAGAAGCCCCTTCTAGAGTCCTATCCTGCTACCGCTTGGAGGACCTGATGTTTTGTTACCCATCCAGTACTACCCTTTACATCTTACACAAAGCTAAAGATACAGCCCATGAAAAAAGAACCCCATGGATTACTCAGTGTTGGATTTGCTGTGGAGGTTGCTTACACCCTGACTACCTTTCACTGGCTGGAAATGAAAGAAGCTTCCCCTTGGCCTGTGGCTCCCTGTGGTAATTCCATTCTCTCCAAGGTCCCTGTCTTCACCCTGTACTCACACTCGAGCTTCTGAGGAAGGAAGTGAGCTTTTTCCACCAAGAAGGAAAGGAGATGAAGTGGGGGAATCCAGGGTCTCTGAGCTGCAAGGGGGAATGGCCAGGTCTTCCAGTTGAGTCTTCTTTGCTGCCTGCCTCTCTTCCTCTTGCTTTACCTTCCCAGACCACATACGTGCACCCCTGAATCTACCTTTTTCCTTGGTTAGGCTGCTAGGTGGTCACCCAGCCTAGGGTCCTGCAGAACCAGAGCCTGCATGTGAATGGGACCTGAGCTTGTTGCTACCACCATACCTTGTTAACTTGGTGGCACACCTGCAGCTGAACATTAATTGTGGGTCTGAAGAAAGCTGAGGGCTGGCATCAACTCTATTGGAAGACACTGAGCCATTGACTGGTTCATCGAAGGGGGTGACAACACATGGGTGGCTTTGCCCAGTCTGCACTGGCTGCTGGCCCACCACCACCCACCTAGCCCTCTCCCAGGGCAAACATTTTTGGCTGCACATAAGAAGCATCAGGACTGGCTACATGCTGAAGCAGGAGGTGCTGCCGTTGTGGGTGACAATACTGGCCACAGGCCTCTGTAGATGACATGGAGGCAGGAGAATGCACTGGCTGGGCATGAAGTTTGTAGAAACCAGGGACCTCTGCAGCTGAGAGATCTTGCACCTCTTTCTTCTCCACCAGGAGAAGGACCCCTACTATAATAAACTTGACTTCTTCTAGTACCGGGTGTTCAAGGTGAGCAGGCTAGCCTGAGGCAGTCTTCTTTGGAGGAGCCGGAGCCCTTACCAAGTGCCCACTAAATGGAGATTGTTCAGATGACAAGTAACCTGCCCAAGGCAACATCTCTGGGAAGTGGAGGGCCCAGTTTCCAACTACTCCAAGTTCCTACTCTTGACCAAAACTACCCCATAAACTAAGGTCGTACTCCAAGTTCCTACTCTTGACCAAAACTACCCCATCTTCTCACATCTCCAAGCAGCCCCCTCCCCATCCTCTCCTCCAAGCCCCAAAGTCCTTCGCAGAACTGGGGTCATCTTGGGAGTCAGTGACTTCTCTGCTCCCTGATTCCCCACTGCTGCTCTGACCTGCCTGTCTTCTTCCACTACATGAACCCAGAGCTATAGTACACGATGGAGTATCAGACCTATCACCTCTGTGCCCTTGGATACCACCCTGCCAGCAGCCCCAGCAGGAGGCACCTTCTGCTGGCCTTCTCCCACCTCCAGTTCCCCATTCCCTGACAGGCTTCTTCAAGAACAGACCAGCAGCTCACCCCCTAGACAAAATCACTTCCTCTTTAATTGCTGTTGAAGATTCACACCACCTGCCTCAGAGGAGATGGGGGCATTCCCCCCTGCCCCGCCCTCTCCCCTCCCCAGTCACCTGGTCCTTTGCAAAATATTTTAGCCAGGAAAAAAAAAAAA